ATAATTGATAAAATTAAAGTTATTTTTTTAATTTAATACAAATTAATGATAAAAAAGTATAATAAATATAGCTTTAACATATTTTCTTACAAGTTCCATTTTTCTAATGGGTTTGTGTAACCTGTGCCTTGAGCATAGGTTAAAACTTATTAATTAGGGTATGTTTAATTAATTTTATATAAATTTTCATATCAAACTCATAATTTTTTACATATTTCAAGTATAAATATTATATTATATTTTCTTGTTATATTTTATATTATATTTTATTTAAATCTTACATGTAAATTAATTTATGTAAAATTAATTAAAAATATTATAATTAATGAGGCTTAATCTATGCTCTCATGCCACAAGTTAGAAAATTCCTTTTCTAATTAGTACATGTCCTTTAAATTTATATTCACTGTATTTTTTTATTGTTAGTTATTATAGGAAGCATAAAAGTTAACTTTAATTTTGTCAAACGTTGAATTAAAATAATACATTTTGTATATAATGTGCTAAAATTAATATTAACTTTTATATTCTCCTGTATATATTAATGGAGCAAAAGTATAATAACTACTGTTATATTATGTGCTAAGGGCACATATTAGAAATACCTTTTATTATTTTAAGAAAACATTAAATATTTTTATTCTAATTTTATTGGAGATGTCATTACTTTTTGGTTTAATTATAATGGGGTTTTCTAATTTATATCATAATGGTACATATTAAAAGATATTTATTATAAATTTTTAATATTAATTTATATAAAAATTATAAAAATAAATTTTATTTTTAATACTAATATTATGTGGAGTAATTTAATTTCATGCATAGTAATAATAAAAATTTATAATAAATAAATTTTTAACTTATGCTTAGATGGTACAAGTTAAAAAATTCCAATTGTGATTAATGGTAAGTAGTATAATAGTTATTGTACTCCGTTTGATTAGAAATAACAATTATTTTTTAAACTTTGGGTTTTTTTGGATTAAGGACTTTGGACAATTAGGCATTTACCTATATTGCTCTTAAATCGAAACTTTTTATACTTAATATATGAATAATTAAAGAAAAAATAATAATTCATATAAAAAATTATTTTAGGAAAAAAATATTGGATGAGATTTATTCGTAAGTGGATAAAATGGAGTAACTAAATTAAATTGTTAGGGTGTCCTAAGTTGATTTATTTATTTATTTTTAGTTATGAGAAAATTTGACAGTTCTAGCCAATTTATCTATAGCTAATCCTTCTCAAGGTATTTTAAAGTTGTACCTTGTATTATTCTATGGTCAATTATATTTTTATTTCTTTGGCATGATGAAAGGGAAAGAAAAGAAAGAATAATTATTTTAACCAATCAAATTAATAATTTTTAGGTTAAACCTCCAGTTTGGTTCCTCAACTATTGTATGGACTTTTGATTTAGTCTTTCAGTTAAAAAAATCCCTAATTTGGTTCTTACTGTTTATCATTTTGGCCCCAACTTGATCTTTCTGTGAAAAATCCACTTACGTGTCCCATTATTTGACATGAGAAAGGTGACATGTAAAAATATTTTAACACATTGGATGTACAACATGGCAAAAACCATATGGCAAGAGAAAACCTTAAAAAATTTCCTTTTCTTTTTTTTTTTTTTTTTTTCTCTTCCTTTGTTTTTCCTTTTCCTCTTTCTTCTTCCTCTTCCTTTCCTTTCACCTTTTGCAAACCCCAACACCTTCTAATATTAAATCCAAGGATAACACAAACATAAACCCGAAATCTCCT